ACATTGATGGTTGGATAGAACTTTTGAGTAGATGTTCATCAGGATGGGAATACACAAGGAATGGTAGAAGGGTTGAAGGTAATTTCACAGGTTTTTATATACAAATTGATATTTTTGGTAGCTAGAAGGTTGATCAGATGTCTCTCTCTGGAAAGTTGTCCATGAATTAAATTTCATGTTGGCATGACAAGCATAGAGTACCAATATCATTGGCAGTTGTAGAGGAGATCACAGTGGCAGTGACAAGAAAATGTAGTAATTCCCCAAACTAGGAAATGTTGTTTGCAGGATATCGTATGTGGTATGATATAATACAGTTGAGTAAGGCTTTCAGAGGAGTTACAAAGGGCAGGGCAGTATGTATATATCTACATGAAACTAGATATAAATGTTCAGATCATAAACCTCCATTCTCCTCATATTTTATGCCAGTTTATATTATAACATCGAATTAGTTTATTGTTCTATTGCCTCTGAGGATGACTTTACATTCATTCATAAAATAAGTTCTGCTTGCCTCTTCTTTATATCTGTAATCCTGATTTGTTTGTGTTTCTTGGTCCTGAGGAAGTGTGATATCATTGCCTACATATTTTATGTTACTTTGTTCCTGTCCCCACCCTCAAAAATACTTAAGAGGAGTCCATTTTAATGATGTTGATTCTATTCATTACCCATAAGAATATTGTGGTTAGGAAGACTCTTAAATTGAGAAAGAGTCCAAATGTTGATATTCTTGAAGCTTTATCATACTAAAATAGTTTCCATGTAACAAAATTCATTGAACTTTCCTGATGGAAACTATCATACCATTTGTTTTTCATCCTGAGTCATAACATATTTGTCTTGAAAATTTTATATAAGCATCTTAGAATACCTTTCATGAAGCTCTGCTCTGACAACATGATACATTTCATATTAAAAGCTGAGTCTTTTATTCAAACACTTGGTATTTCCACATAATAATATCTGTGACACACTTGCTTTTTAATAGTAAAATTGTCATTAAACTCCTATTGGTGGTGTTCAACTTTGTAGATTAATATAATATCAATAGTCATCAGCTTCTGTACAGCATTGCAGTGCTAATATATGTATATATATATGTATATATTGTCACTTGAAATCACTTATTAGGAGATTTGGGCGTCAGGCAAGTAAATGAAGCAAATATTAAACAGAACTTTAATGTTATAAGAAGAAAGATTAAGAGTGCCTAGTTGGACACAATCAAAAGAACTTTTTTAGTAATCATTTTGACTATTCCCATATATGCAAGCTAATATTTATGGAAGTCTATTTTCTTGGGACAGCTATATTCTGGAACTAGATATTTCTTTTCTCAAGCTTATTCTGAGTCAGAGAAATTAGAGTTGAGAATAAATGAAGGAAACTAAAAATCTCAAACTTCCACTTAGTATGTTAGAGAAAATTCATGATTCTTTTGGCAGATTCTGTCCTGATGCAAAATTATCCTATAATTTTACAGTTTATTGAGGAATCCGGAAGTCTGATATTCTTTTCTCTCTCTCTTTTTTAATTCTTTTTTTAATTGTGAAAATACTGTACAGAGGGGTTACAATTACATGAGCAAGATAATGAGTACATTTCTTATCAAGCATCGTTGCCTCCTCCTTTGTTTCTTCTTCCCATCCCATCCTTTCCCTGACCCCCCACCCAACTCTCCTTCCCCCCCTACCAAAGTTGTAAAGTTCGTTTTTGACATAGTGACTTGTACATCTCATTGTTGCAATGGGTCCACCTGTATCCCTATTTAAATGATTTGTTTTTCCCTTCCCCTCCACAAATTATACCGACATCATATACAGTAAAAGCAGGGGTTATACTGTGGGGAAGGGACATACAAAGCAACAAAGAAATCATCTTAGAAATGTGTTAGAAACAATCGCATGAAAGAAAAAAAAACATTTGAATACATATCTTAGGGTTCTCTCTTTTGAGAGATTATTGAGTAATTCTTGTGGGGCTTACCGGAAAATATGAGAATTCATGTACCCGTGTAAATTGGCATAGGGGTAGACAAACATAGGGAGAAACAATACCTTGGATATATTTTTAATTTTGACATATGGGACAGATTTAATGTGAGCTCCCCTTGAATATCTTTTGTTGTTTGGTTATTTGATTTCAGACAATGGAAGGAAATTGCTTGATATTTCACATTGGGAAATTTTCAAGTCAGGATTCCACCTTCTTAAAGAGAAGCCCATGAGCCTATGTATCAGCGTGTGGCCTATTACTGGCAGAAAATAACTGAAGATGTTGGAGTCATCAAGGGTTAAGGTAAGTTTGAGAAGTCTCTCTGACATTTTCCTATCTCTTCTAAGAACTTTAAGCACTTGATAAATGAAATCTTTCATGCTTTCATGTGATTTCCAAGAAGATTCTCTTCTCACCTTGATAAATCTCAACTAAAGAACATTGTGTGTGTACTTTACCTAAACTTTTCATGATTTTGTTGAAGCTTCCTTTTGCTTCTTTTGCTCTTTGTAAAGTTTGAAACCAGGTGACAACCAGTCTACAAAATCTCTCTGGCATGCTACCTTGGGGTTTTAAGAAAGAAATGAAATCATTCCTTGTAGAGTGAAAATAGATTTGGTCTCTAAACACCTACTCTTGAAATGTATGTGATAACTGGGACACCATAGAATCTCATGTTATCAAACTAAATATGGTTCCCTCATTAATCATCACTAATTAAAATGTAAGTTCAATGCAGGACATGACAATAAAGGAAGCCTGGTATCATCAATCAAGTTGTCACATCTTGATGACAAGGCTCAATACGCATACCTTGATGACTTATTTCACCATTAATTATATTTTCATTCAATTTATAATTTCTTCTAATCAGTACAGAGGCCAATGGTTATCTTAGACTAATGCATCTCCATATAGCTACCTGACTGAATAAACTGGGATTAAAAAAAGAAGTATTGCAAAGTCTATTATTTTTAAGAGATGAATTTTGGAGGAAACAAAAAAATTAACATAAAATAATGAAAATTACATCTGAGACTCTATGGAATTTTATTCTCATATAATAGTAAACATACTAAATGCTAGTTAAACACAAAAAGTCTAATATATCCTCCATATGTTCTTTAAATTTCTATGTAAACAGAGGTTTTTCATGTCTTTCTATTGCCTAATGATAACGACTATTCTTCTGAACTGGATTCAAGGAATTTTCATCGTATGCCACCAGGATGAGTTTTTCAGACACTTTCCATTGTTATTTTCTATTTTCCTTTTCCTTTTCCATTTCAGTTTCACTGAAATGTTCTGAATTTCCTAAGTCACTCCATCTCAGATACTTTGCACAAACTTACTCTCCCTGGGAAGTATGTTAGCTTTCTATAATAAATATCTAAAATAATCAACATAAAGTGATCAAGTTTATGTTGGTTCACATTTTGGAGGTTTCAGTCCATGGTCAGTTGGACCTACTGGTTTGGGTCTGCTATAAGGCAGCAAGCACAACATGCCAAGGATTTAGCAGAAAGGAGCTACTCACTTTTTGCCCAGGACGTAAAAGAAAGAAGTTTCAAAATCTCCTTCAAGGCAAACTTCCAGTAGCCTGAGGACCCCACACTAGACTCAACCTCCACCACCTTTCAGTAGCACTGAATTTGGGAGTAAGCCTTCAACAGATGGACATCTCTAGAACCTCATTTGTTATGCATCCTGAAAATTGTCCTGCGTTGTTCACAGCAGGTCAATATCATGATCTCAGACATCCCTTCAGCCTCTCTCCACCATCCCATGAATGACATATTAAACACCTCATTTGACTTTCCCTATGTTAAAATAGGAGTTAGAAGTTATTTTCTCACTAGTTACCTGGTTGTATATAAAAATTGAGATTGAGAGCATTTGATCAATTCTCATGGAAATGTTATGGCTTTCTTCAGTTTGGATCCAGGATGGCTGTTTGGAATTTCACTCTTCTTGTCCTCTACATTTCAGCAAGGCACATTTGCCATGTCTATGTACAGTGGTTCATCTAATTATGTGGAGCTTCAATTTTCAAGATTCCTACAATTTGACCTTCCTCCCACCTGCATTCCTTTGTTTTAATCTCTTTGAAGACTGAAAACATAGTAAGAATGCACTGGGATATGAAAATGTGTCAATGACATATTGTTAGCCTATAGTTACATATAAAATGAATAACACTACTTTGAATTCAGCTTTAGGCCCTCATTTACTAGTAATGAAATCTTGGATAAGGGGTTTTAGCTTATGAACCTTGTTCTTTATCAGTACAACAGGGCTAATCCTATTTCCCTTTTTCCCCTTATCATAAATTAGCTGTACAAGGGATAGTATTTCCATGTGTACATACAAGGAACTTCATCAAACTCATTTTCTCTCTTCCCTTCCTTTTCCTCTTAACTATTGTTCTTAAACAATTCCAACAGATGTTTATGCTCTCTTTTCATTCATGCACATAAAGCAATTCCATCATATTCATCCTCCCTATTCAACTCTGTTACCCATCCCTGACAAAGCACATTTTGCTTTCCTTAGATCCTTTTCTTTTTCCATTTTTTTAGCATACTGCTTTTCAATAGCTGAGAAGGATTAAAGTAATTTCTAGAAAATGCCAGGCATCAGATATGTAGTATAAATAGTATATGCTTCTATTCTAAGGTACATATTCTATTCCAAGGTACATATTCTATGAAGGTACATAGAAATGACACATGACAAGAATGATGTGCATGTGAAGGCTGTGCTTTAATTATGAAGAAAATGACAGGAAAGAATTTTCCAAAATACAAAGCATTGAGAATTTTAAACACAGTAATGATAAGAACTTCTAAATGCTCAATAAACAGATTTTAGTATAGAACTTAAAGACATAAAGTAACCCTGTAGAATGAGAACCATGCATGTAAAGCTGAGTGATATCTCAAAGACAGGAAACATGAGTTCTTTCCAGCTACTCAGGTTGATTTTCATTAATAAGGAGACTACCAGTTGCCTGAGGAGGAGTATCGCTGAAAATTGCTGTATGTATAATTTGTGGGTCTGTAATAATCAGACATGCAGGTGAATGGCTGGCATCCATTGGACAGGTACCTCAGTGGTTGACGATCATAGCGCAGATAGCTCAATGGTTGATTACCACAGGTCAGGTAGCTCAGTGGTTGACGGCTATGCACCAGGTAGCCCTGCGGTTGATAGCCATAGGACTGGTAAGTTGGCAGGTGGTACCTCACAAGTTGTCTAGAGGATACTGGAGAACGGAAACTGGAACTTTGAGATGTGAGAGGAAGACAGCTAGTTCCTTGATGGAATCCAGACACGTCAGAAACAGTTGGAGAGCAGCTGGAAGGGCTACAGGCATTTCTTTCACAGGTGTTAGATTGGAAGCTCCTGCGTTCACCACAAAGTTCATGGCTGCTGTCATGGGCCACATGGCTGCCCAGGCTGCTACTGGAAGAGCAGGGAACATCACCACAACTCACCTCTGTGGAGTGGAGAGCATTGGGTGAAGTGACAGGAAGATGGCAGGAATTCCTGAGTGAAGGAGAGCTAGAGTTGTCACAGCAGCAATTGTTGTCAGACATGATGGAGATAGAAGGTCAGGCCTAGACTAAATGGCAGAGAATAGGATGTTAGGGTGTACTTGTCACTTTATGAACCTCCTCTTTATATACCTTGGCTCCTGGGTGTTGGTCCTCTCTGTAGTCTGTCCCTATGTTCTACTTTAGAATTATTTGAAAGTCATCTCATTAATACTGAGTTGCCTACCCAAGCAGTCCTCCCACTAACCCATAAAAATACAATGTCATCACCAAATCCTTCAAGTAACTGTCATTCCAAAGTGTCCATCAGGTCTTCCCAATTCAATCTTGCTTATACCATAACACCAAAGTAGGTCAACAGCTGTGTTAGGAATTCTGCTCCTCTATCAGTATTTACAATTTTTGTATCTATTGTTAAATAATCTATTAATTAATCTTAGAATTTGTAATAATTCATTTATGACCACTTTTCCTATAAAATCAATATATACTTAGAAGTACAGGTAGATAGATACATAGGTATAGATATTTAAAGGCATTAATCACATATTTTTGAAGTGATATATGTTGAAAATTCTTGATTTGGGAACAGAAACCCAAGTTTTCACTCTTTGGAGATGTAAGCTGAGTTTAGGGAAATGTGACATGAATATCATTTTCAAGTGTATATTTCCCAATTTAAAAAGAGGTGACCTGAAAAATCTTGTTAATTTTTGCTAAGATCCACACCCATTGACTTTATGTGTTACCCTTCTTTTTACTATAATGAAACTGAAGATGTTGGCAGATGTGTGTTGATATATGCTCTATGAATGCAAGGCCTTTAGATGCTTACCTATGTAAATTTCAGCACAATATTAAAATAGGATAGTATGGTATTTATAGCTGGTTTTCTTCTTATTATATCCCAAAGTATATTTTCCTGTACATAGAAGCTTTGGCAATAGTTTATATTTCCTTGTAACTTAATCAAGAAAAAAATTAATTACTAATTATTTTCTGAAGTTTTATTATCAGTTGATAACTTAGACTCACAATGTACTCATACATGGAAAATAAAAATAGAAATTACTAGACTGGTTGACCCAAAAGGCAAAAGCCTGATTTTCATTTAGTTATAGTATGGAAGTATGCAACTCAATTTCTAATAATGTAGTTTAATAATATGTTAAATTCATAGCAGTTACATTGTGAGATACAAAAGTTTACATGTTACCATGGTACATAGGGAATTTTTCTTTAAGTTATCAATAACTCTACATGGAATTGTGTTGTTGTGTTACTGGAAAGAGGGTATTGTGTACTGATACTTCCATGAGTAGAACTCAACCATCATTTCTGTAAGTGTACATTCATGAGTTTGTTAAGAAGTTTCATTTATGAAGATAATGTATATCATTGTATCTATAGAAACATGCTTTTGAGGACACATATTAGAGTGGAAAATCATAGGCATATGTAGTATAGTGTTTTCTTGCCCTCCAACTTCTAATGGTAATATTTTTTGTCATGCCATGAGCCAACTTTGTGGCCTAGGCAAATATAGCCAGAGCTTATGAGCTCAGTACTATTCAATTGCTAGTCTCTTGCAAGCAGTTTCTATGCTAAATTTCTGCATATGAAAATCAGGTATATTTAAGAGCTTCTCAGCAGTATCTCTTAGGATGTATTAATTATTATAGAAACTATAACTATTATAGAAAGGAATTAACTCAGGCACACACTCAGGGAAGTTGATGGTGAGATCTGTCTGCTTGAGATTTGCAGTGAAAAATTGTTGCCAAAGTAGACTTGACTGAGCTGCTTTTTAGATTGTGACCATACACTGCCTTGTTAATCACAGTTGGTGGGAAAGCAAACCTTCCCATTTGGAGGAAGGGCATTCCATAGTTAAGAATCCCTGATTTTCCCCCACCAGAAATTCTACATATCTCATGCTCACTCATGTAAGTTTAGTAATTAGATAGGCATCTTCTCCACTTGAGACACCTAGAAATTTCTACTCTAGCATTGGGTACACCTCTGTTTCTGTGGGTATATTTCAACAGTCATATTTATATGGAACCATATAATGTAAGCATTATAAAAACATTTTATGATCTTTACAAAAACTAAATAAGGAGTCAGGTTGTAATTGTCTTTATTGGATGGAGAGGTATCTGCCACAACTAACAACATACTTCAACCTTTTTTACACTGAATCTTAGAGACTTTTAGAAACCATTAGCTACCTGACAAACTTAATCTGAAATATAGATGCCTGGGCTACCTATATTTTCAATTGGAAGTGATAATTCTAATATGTGCCCCCACAAAGCAACTGAATTCTCGGACTCACGCAAAAGTACAAGAGTTTCTCTGTATTATGTGTTTGCATCCTTTAGGATGATCAATAACTATTCATGAATGGTGCTGTGGTATTGCTTGGTAGAGAATATTCTGGATTGGTACTCTCCATGGCTACATCTCCACCATTTGACACCAAGAGAGTAACTGTATTTAGAGACTATTGTAAAGAAAATGGGATTTTCCCTTTCATTTTTCAGGTGGTATGTTAATCTGTGTATAGTAAAACTAAAATTGAAGCATAGAAACATTGTGGGTAAGAGACTAGTAACTGAATAGTACTGAACTTGTAAGTTCTAGCTATATTTGCTCAGGCCACAAATGGCAACTGATGGTACTTCAAAATTCAGCATTGACATATCTTTGATATACTGTTTTGTTTTGTTTTGTTTTTAGTTGTGATGGGCCTGAACTCTGAGCCTGGGCGCTGTCCCTCAGCTCTTCAGCTCAAGGCTAGCGCTCTACCACTTGAGCCACAGTGCCACTTCTGCCTGTTTTCTTTTTGCTTATGTGGTGCTGAGGACCTCATGCATGCAAGGCAAGCGCTCTACCACTGAGCCACCTTCCCAGCCCCTGATATAATACTTTTATAAGTATCTATGTGAGTAAAGTTTAGTTAGTATCAGAAGGATAAAAATGATACTATCTCTCCTCTGAGACCACAAAAGTGTAACAGAAAAAAATACTATTCATAACTCTCATTGTGCTCTGAAGGTAAGTTCACTTATTTTGAGCACACTGATTGGCACAGAGGTCTATATTTGCAGATCCGATGTGGGAAAAACAAAATTTCTTTCATTAGTGAATATGATTCTTGGAATTCCCTGAAATTGACTGAAGTGAAAAAGAAAATAGAACAGAGGAGCTGCTATAGAACGGCATATTCCATATGCATTGTTTTATGACTTTTATACATAAGCAATCTTCACAGAAGGAATTCTTGCTCATTTTTTGGAAGGGGTAAATGACACAGAAAAAATTTTGTGAAGGTGACAAACAATTCATTGACAACAGAGATGGTAAGAACATGGGTCATGCATTCCAGAGAATGGATATAGCAACAAAATGGCACAGGAGTTTCAAAGGCCACAAGAATGGCAGGTATTAGAATTAGTAATGGCTATATATGAGTAAAGAATAAAATGATAACTTCTAGCTCTATCTGCATTTAAACCCTGAATTTGTAAAGGTTGGAGGGACTGCCATAAATCAACCAATTTCCTCATTTTCTTCTACCTGCAGTCATGAGAGTTCTTATTTCTTCTCAGCTAGGAAAAAATTCCTATTTAATTCCATTAGTGAAGTCCAAAATGACATTATATTTGTGAAAATCTTCATATTCATTATGTGATCATCTATGTCCTAGATTTTTTTACTTCTTTCCTTTACATGAAGGGTCTAATTCAATGATATGCCAAGCTTACCATGACAAATGTCAAAGCCAGACAAGTAGTTATGATGTATGACTCAATGTGCTGGGAAGAGCGTCTTGATGAGTCTTTCTTAAGTAGCATGTTCCTGAGGTCAAATGCTCAATGACCTTCAAGGGCTCTTGATTCCTGAAACGGGGCATGTATACACAATATGTTTATGTTTCTCACAGAGAATGTACAAGATGGAGCATCTTTGGATCTATAAAAGCAATAGTTTCTCAAAAGCAAAACCAAACAATTATGACACATGTCAAAGAGACACAAGAGTCAACTAAAAGAATTTTTAACATCCAAACAGGAACAATTTTAGTGAACTTCTTTTTTTAATTTCATTGTAATCTTTGACAATATAGGTATTCTTTGATTTTTTTCCCTTTTTTTCCTGCCCATGTCAATCCCAGAAAGAGAACTTGACACTGGCTTTGATCAGAGTAGTTCATCAACAGTCAGACCTTAGAAATGATAAAAACATAGTACCTGGCACAATTTTGAAGGCTAATGTATATTTGCAAATAGAACCATGAAAAGTCATGTCACTGCAGTTACATTTGCTATCTTTTATCAAGTGGACACAGCTCTTTCACTAATTAAAAACTTCTTTCATTCATGAGAATTAACAAATGAATTCTCACAAAAACCAAACCTGCTATGCTGAGGAAACACATTTTCTTGCAGGCTGAAGGACATGCAAACTAGACTGTCCTAGTAACAACCCCCCCCCCAAAAAAAAGAATAATTAGCCTGGTATGATAGCTCTAGTGTGTAATCTTACCTACTTTGAAAGGATATATTGGGAGATCATGATAGTAGGCCAGCTGAAAAAAAAAGACTGGGAAACTCAGTGTGCAAAGGTTTATTAGGGATACATTAGAGAAGAAAATTGACCTCTCCCACTTCTCAAAGTCTCCCATTTAGACAGACTTACATAAAATAGAAATAAACCGTTAGTATTCTAGAAGGTCTTGTATCAGAAATATTTTTCCACTGAAACTTAGTGGTGAAAGCCCATTGTACCAATATTTTCTAGAAAATGACCCAGCTTCCCACACATATATCAAGTTGCTTTGGCATTGGAGGAAGAGAGTATATATTAATACATTAGATTAAAGCTTTAGTAGTGTTCTGTTCCCACATTTCACCTCATTCACATGGCAGCATTTATAAACTGCTTATTTAGAGAATCCCAGTGCCCTGGTAATCCAGGCAGGGGAGCCATGATGGACAGGACACTTAGAAGAGTGCTTGGTATGGAATACAATTCAA